TGTGGAGTTTTGATATGTACTAGAGCTTTCGATTTTGTTCGCACATTTTCAAACAGGCCTTTTGCTGTTTTTTTTTTGATTTTGATTTTTGTCCCCCTTGCTACGGAAGGTTGCCCGAAATCGTTCACTTTTCGCTTAAAGCGTGTTTGTATTGTTCAACTCTCACAGGCGATTAGTTAAATCACAGTTGAACGGAAAGTATAACTTTTATTTGAAAATATTCTTATGCCATATTTAAGGCTAAATATGTATACATATGTATATGTATATTTTTTATGTACATACACTGGCTATCAAAACTGCGTGCATGATGATTTTTTAAAATATATAATACCTTTATGTACATACACTGGCGATCAAAACTGCGTACATGATGATTTTTTAAAATATATAATACCTTAATACAAATTTTAGATGAATGCAACAAATTTCCATCAAAATTTTAAACTTTTTAATCTGAATTCTTGGATATGCAGCTACAGCCTTATGAGATTTTAGTAAAATTAGTGCAAATTTTAAACAACGGTTTTTTATATAAGAAGTGCAATTTATAAAAACTGGCGTTGATTTTTTTTTATGTTCTTGCAAATGGTCTTGCGCATTTTCCCCAAATTCATCTTGGAGAAAGCCATCAGCAAAAAAGTATCAGGAATTCATGCAATTTTTAGCCGCGTAAAACTTGCACTTATTTTACAAAATTTTTATGAGCCATGCAACAGCATATCCTAGAATTCAGATTAAAAAGTCCAAAAATTTTATGGAAATTTGTTGCATTTTTCTAGACTTTGTATTAAGTTTGAAAATTCGAATTAGTTTTATGGTTTTTGCTAAAGCATCAAAAATATTTTTATAAAAAATAACAAAAAAAATTGACTTGTAAAACATTGTAAATATTTAAAATAAAATCGCCATGTACTCAGTTTTGATCGCCAGTGTAACTTCGTTTTGTTCAAATGATATTGAATTTTTATTTATGAACGGTTCTGTTGTTCCATAAGCGAATAAATCAAGATTTTGTTGAATGCATTTAGTTTTATTTGTTGCCCGTAAAATACCCCTTTTTCTCTCTTCGTTGTACCACAAGTCCCACAATTTGTTCGTATCTGTACCCCTTTCGACATTTTAGGTGTGGCAACCCTAGCAATGAGGCATAATGAGAAATAACCAATTGACCTCCTTTATCACATGCATACAATTTTGATATTTTTTTGAAATTTTAAATTTTTAATATTTTTGGGCATATAATTTTTTGAACGTTTTAGTGTCAAAGCAAGTTTTTGCCTCCTTCTGATTGGCTGAAGCAGAAAACTTTCTGATGCTGAATGCGTATACCACTATTTTGGTTGCTTCAAAACGACAGACATAATAATTGAAGTGGTCAAATTTTCAATATATGTATATATAATATATTATGAACTGCATATAAATCAACATTTCAAACTTTGTCAAAAATTAGAAAAATTCAAAAAATGTTCTCCAAAATTTCAAACTATTCATTCAAATTTTTTAGAACAATGTTAGGTATGCAGTTATATAGCCCATTGAATTTTGAAAGTTTCAGGCAGCTAGAAAATCTCATAGTTTTTTTTCTTATGTCGGACTTTTTCGTTTTTTTTTTTTTATTTAAAAAGTGCAATTTATAAAAACTGGCATGATATTTTTTTTATTTTTTTCGAGCGGCTTTGCGCAATTTATTTCATAAAAAATAATGTTTCGAGCATACTTTATATGGAAGAAAATATACAACATCGTCAAAACAAAAATTATGAAAAATCAACGTAAAGTTTTCTATAAAGTCAGCATAAGAAATTTGAAAGTTTGGTGAAAGTTTTTTGAATTTTTATAATTTTTGTACTAAGTTTGAAATGTGCATTTATGCATATAGTATGCAGTTAAACTTAAATAAAAAAATATTAAACATTAAATAAACGAGAGAATTATAGCCAAAATTGGCCTATTACTTCTGCCACCAGTATTCATACATACATAGGTACATATCGCATATAGGTACATCCCTTATGAAATGAGTAAAATCATTTTTGATTTACATACATAAATTCAAAATATCTTTCCAGAAAATTGGAGAAAAGGATTCTATACGATCCAGAAAGTTATAGATACATATCTAGAGGATTGAGGATTTCCTGCTCTTAAAAATGGATTAGCCTTACTTAACTTTTCGTAACTATGCCTTCACTACCGGCGTTAGTAGGACGAATTTTTCCCATGGTCACAAAAACCAGTTTTCAATGATGTATCACTAATATGTATACATCGGGTCACAAATAAAGGACGTGTGAAGGACAAAAATTATTATGACGCCAAAATTCTCTCAGAGTGTGCGTTCCGAATCGAAAGGGTAGTTAGAAACATATGTACGTAAATACATACGCACATATGTAAGTAGAGGATTCCCAAGACGTGTTAAGCGCAGTAATGTCTTATAGTCTGATTTTGCATACTTCGCATAACTTCGCACAACTTCGCATAAACTTCAAACTGTAATTAGGTATGTACTTTGAGTGATCAGCTGAGTTTAGATTTTGATTCACATTTTCTTAAGATACACTTTTATTGCACTGGTACAAATAGTTGGCGAAGTTATGCGAAGTATGCATAATCAGGCCTTTAGTTTTAAATTTTTTATATAAAATGACTGTATAGTTAAATATCGACTAATATTTTCTCAAATGTACACATGTTTATTAAGGCGAGTCAATTTGTATAGGGTTTTTTTTTTTACTATTCACGTACATAATAGCAGAATTCTACGTGTAATTCTAAGCAAATTTACCGAAGAAACCATGGGTTCTTAAATCATTTTGGAGTTTGCTAAATTGCGAAACTAGCTTTCTTTTACTTAACAATTTGCTGTAGTAACATAAAGAATTGATGGAATTTTTTATAAAAAAAAAACATGCTCTAAGGGGTTTTGGGTACGAGGAATCCATTTCTGTACTTAAAGTTTTCTTAAAACTTCCACTGTTGCGCCCAGGAAACATTTTCACATTTTCCCACGTGTTAAAATAAAATTTTTATTCAATTGTTTTCATTCAACAAAAATCCCAATCAAAATTCATACGTATGTAGGTATGTGAAATATATAAAAATTTTTACACGTTTCCCTTTAAATTCAATTTTTTTTAACTTAATTACAATCACCCACAAAATTTAGTATCCGGTGATTTTTTAATGTTCACAATAGTTTTCAAGTTAAAATTTTTTTTAAAATTTTTTATTAAAATACGACTTATATTTTAACAAACACCATATGAGTAGTCCACTAGCAAAGTGCGCTATGTAAATTTTTTTCGATTTTTAGTTTTTGGTCAACGTACCAGTATTTAATGTAGTTTCATGTCCGCTAACAATACAGTGTAAAATCCTTATATAATCTGAAAAAATGGCATCAAATGTTAGCAACTCTAGCTAAAGTCGCTATAATACTTACTGCATGTATTGGTATATACACTTTCAAAAGTCGCTATAATATTTATTGTACATATTTATACAAGTTCAAAAGTCTCCATCTTCTGATGAACTTAGAAAACTGCAAGAAACGAGGTAGTTTCGGTGCCTAGTGGAAGACGTCTCAAAAAAGAAGCAGACCAACCTTCATGGAAGAGAGAACGCGAAAAGCTTAAAAAGTCTAGCTATATAAAACTTACTGTTCCAAAACTCGCTATATTTAATTTCTATACATATATAAAATTTGCAAAAACCACCACACTGCGATTTGGATTTTTAATGATATTAGGCTCTTATTTATCCAAATTTTCAGATAATAAAAAGAAATATACAATTTGGATGTTACTTTTTGTTATAGACGTTTTTTTTTTAATTTATGGCTTACTATTATAAAATCACATAACGCTGTTTGCAAGTGGACTACTCATATATATCTAAGTTTCAAGCTTTGTTCGAAAATTAAAAGAATTCTGTAAAACTTCAAAATTGCAAACTTTTTAATGAGAATTCATATAAAATTTCGAGCATCCAGTTTTATAGTCCATTCGATTTTAGTATAACAATGTCTAAAGTTTAACAATCTAAAAATTCGCGTTGAATTTTTGGTTTATTTTGCCGACGGTGCTAAGCATTTTCTTCCATATTTACATACAAAGTACACTCAAGTCTATTTTTATGCGGTACATGCGTTCCTCAGAAAGCCGTATAAAAAAGGTCTTTACTTTCATGCAAAAACAGAGGATGCGTTCCAGCATTTTCAAAACCGCATAAATTCAGATACTCCATGTAAAAAAATCATAAAAACCGCATTAAGAAATCCAGTGACGCAAAATTAAGAAAAAAAAATTATTTCTTCACTTCAACACTTATTATTCCATGTAAAACTGAACATCATTGAAATAAATAAAATTGTATCTGTATTTTAACCAAAAACAAAAAAAAAAAACTAAATACATGAATTATCTATGCAAGAATACAAAGACAAATTATTTATCAGAAGCATTGTCTCTTACACAGTGAAACAAATAATATAAGCTCTCAAAAAAGCAAAATCGCTAGAGCGAAAAAAATATTTCAAAAACCGCCTAAATTCAAATCTTCATAAAAAACGCATACAAAGAGACCTAAGTGTACTCTGTTTTTGTTTTTAAACGAGAGAAAAAAATATTTGAGAACTAACGTTTGAGATTTGAAAAAATCAATAATTCTTAAATTGAGATTTAACAAAAATGTTTATTGGGTAAGGTCGAGAATGCTCTGGCAGTGTCTGGTAGTCGAAATTTCTTCATGTCAAATTGCACGCAAAAATACAAACATTCATACTTAAATACATGCTTACATACATATGTATGCATTTATGTATGGGTGAACGAATGTTTGTTTCTCCATTTGGGCAATGAGAGAATATTTTATCTATTTGCGACGTACCACTTATGTACATATGTATGTATTTAGGTAGGTATTGTTGCTCATTGCGGCTTTTGCTCAGTATTATTGTTGCCGCTATAATCTCTCGCCTTATCATAAGCGGGTCTCCAACAGCTGCGGGTATATAAAGGCCGACACTCGCAACGACCGGCATAGTTGAATTCGAAACTGCAAACAAATCAAAGCGTTGAATAAGCGCACAAAAACTAAATAACGTACAATACAAAAGCTAAACAAGCTAACGTTCTTAAGATACTGTTATAAGTGAAAGTAAAGAAATACAATCACATCAAATTTAGAATGGCGAACCTACCATTGCTCTTGAGTTTGGCTGACGACTTAAGCCGCCTAACACCTTTTTACGAACCGGCGTTCTACACACACTGGCCCGCGATCACCACTTCGCCCAGTGGCCAGTTAAGGAAATTTGAAAAGGATCTGCCTATTGCTTCGGTGGGAAAAGATGGTTTTCAGGCCAGTATGGATGTGCAGCAGTTTAAGCCCAGCGAACTGAACGTTAAAGTAGTTGACGACCACATCGTGGTGGAGGGTAAACACGAGGAGCGAGCAGATGACCATGGTTATATTTCACGTCATTTCGTTCGTCGCTATGCACTGCCTAAAGGCTTCGATGCCGGTAAAGTAGTTTCAACACTGTCATCGGATGGCGTACTAACGGTCAGTGTACCAAAACCTGCCATAGAGGACAAGTCCAACGAGCGAGTCATTCAAATTCAACAGACTGGCCCAGCACA